GGACGACCTGGTGATGATTGTATACGTCGGCTTTAATGGAGGTCGACCTGGAGGGGCGATCGGATATGCTTCAGCCGGGGTTCAATGTAGGCGGCCACTAGATCGACTTGGTCGAGATTGATCTTATAACCAGTCGTATAAGGTGCTGGTGGCGCCAGAACTTTACTTGTCTCAGGGTGAAAACCACCTGGCCTATGTGTGTCTTCTCCTTACCACTAGGAAATGGAGACCGATTCCGATAGCGAGCCTAAGTTGGGGGAGGGCTACTCTACAAACTCACAGGCCAATGTACTTCCTAGGGTTTTACTTACACTTGTGACTTACTGACAACCGTCTATTCAACGATAGGCCAAACAGATTTCTGGCCCGTTACAGTTTGGTTGACTTACAAGATTCTTAGCGCACGACACGTCGTGCTAGTCAGATCGTAAATTGAGAAGTAGTTAATTTTATCCTATCCTTTAAACTCCTTTGCTCTATCTTTGCCTTGCACCTGGGTTCTCTATGATAAGTGGCAAGGAGCCAACAGACCTTGGGGCGCCAAGTCGACCTATGAATGACCAGGCCGACCGACGAGTGGTTGATAACGATCTATACCGGCACCTTTTAATCGGTACCGTCGGTCGGTATGACCCGTTAGTGGTAACCTTAGCTGCTTGTCACGGTTGTACCCAACTGCCACACTTTCCTTGTGACCTCCAGGTCTCCGGTCAATTTTCCGGCCGCGAGGTCTCACGTCCATTCGTCCCCGACCCTTAAGTTCATCATTTCGAAAAACTCGCTTCTCCACACTTGCAAAGTACCAAGCCACAACTCAACCCGGCGAGGAAGCCGTCGCAAAGAATGAACTTCACGCTAGAACGTGCGCTTCAGATTGTGGGTGTTCATAACACCCTGTATATTCACGCTGTGCTTAATCCGTACGTTTATTGGGATCTAAGGGATCAGGTGCAGCTGGTGTACCAGCTCAAAAGCGTCAACTAGCCCGGTCACTTCGACAAGGAACGCGTGGGTAAGCTCCAGAGAGTCAAAACTTTGGATACATTTCCATCGGAATAGGATAGAGAGCTATGCGTTTTTCACCAGTTAACTCTTAAACTGCCTTCAAAGAAACTTCGGTTACATGTAGCGCTCCTAATTGACGGCGAGGTCCAATACTGACATTAACTATGTACTTCTATTCGTGGCTTACACGTCGAGTGACCAGACGCAAGCGCAGGAAGCTAAATTATAAAGAAACGAATTGTTGCCATTAAGAGTCAAGTTTTGCAATCGACCTTGACTTTGCACGACTTCCACGAAGGCTCGCAAAGAATATGGCCGTCTGAAGATTCGGGAAGACCTTTTGAAACGTTCTCTGAAAAGAGACGCGCGCTCGAATCGTAGTCGTCCTCGTTCACCAAGATAAAGGATGAGCAGTGTTCAAATCGGATACGATTTTTTTTTCCGACACCATCCCCTCAACGATACCGCCTTAAGTCGCATAATCATCGACGTGATTGCGCATGTTAGACACATGAAAACACGCAATTTTATGTGAATGTAAAACCAATATAAAACACGTAGCATGTCTACATGTGTGGTGTAACGGTTATCTTATAGTTTAGGTCTCCGAATTCCTCAACCACTGTAAAATTCCCGAGAAATAATGGCATTAGTTAAATATTACCATCAGGTTTAAATGAAATTGCATGTTAAGGAAAAGTTCTATCACTACATAGTTCTTTGTCTCCTACTATTAAGTATTTAATATATATGCGGCCTATGTGTTCTGTATTTTGTTTTTCCTTGTCATGTGAGCTTGCCATAACATTGCGGACCATGCGTATGATGGCCAATCACTCATCCAAAAAGCGCTGATCTTCTATAACGCTTTTAGCATCCTGTCACCAATGACGCCATGACGAGGTCGGTCACGGATCATTGCTGCTAATAACGATGCAACAGCATTGCTTTGGAGCATAGACAGCGTGTGTCGTGTCGATAACTCTACACTACCTTGTGTCGTGATCACTGCGACACTAGTAAATTCACTTAAGCAAGTTTCTGCCATTACATTGTCGAATATACATGCTCTTCCGCATTTTATTTTTGATTTATTAGGGGTTCCCAACTACATTTCGGACTGCGCACAAACAAGATCGGCTTCGAGAATGGTGCATTCCGCTAGCATGAAATGATGTCTCACTTGTTATGGCACGAAGATTTTGCTAATATTAAGTGCTTGACTGGTGCAAATACTGTTGTTTTTAGCAGGAGTTTGCTCCATTGCAAATACAGCAATTGTTTGGTCCCTATATTGAGGTTTGTTATTGTGCGTAATACATTTGCCATCACACAATTGGCCCGTTCGGCCTGGCCAACGGTTTAGATCTAACCGGAATAGACTGGTCGATATTGCTACCTGTAACGGGGTGAATCGTTACATAACAATTAATAAGAAATTGTTAATAGAATATAACTATAAGAGTTATATTCTCAGAATATTGTCATAAGGACAAATATTCTGTAGCACTTACGAGTAGTTCCTAATTGGTTGATACAGGCCATTATATCAACCAACGAAGACGCGCCACGACAGACGCACGCAATGAGTGGTGAGCAGATAACTGATTTACACATTTGTATTTAGACATAGTTAGATGAAGATAAATAGTGATTTATTGCAGACATTAACTATTATAAATACAGTTCTACTTTTTACTTTAACCAAGTACTCGCTTCTTCTTACCGTCTTCCTCTGCACGTACGAGTGTACGTGAAGTTACGAGGCACCGCCGTATTCTGTCATCAGAATAAGTGGCTTGTACTGTCACCAGTACAAGCTTCAGGGTGCCCCGTTACACCTGGTAGCACTTCGTAGTCCGTCCAAGGACCGCGTTCACATCCAACATGAATATGTTGGATGATGAAGATGACCAAAGCTTTCACGCTACGCGTGACGGCTACTCCCATTTGAGCGATGTCGAATGGGATGCGGTTGAACGAATGGGTTCGACCATGGGCATCCATGCTGTTAGCGTCATGCTAGAGGCTCTCAATAGAGATGCCCAACATGCTACTATCGCCAAGTTCATTCAAAATGAACTTGACGCTGAACGCGAGAAAGTAGCCTTGCTTCACCAACAAGGTTCTCAACAAGCAGAGTTGTTGAGAGAACAAGGTGCTCAACAGTTTGAACTGTTGAGACAGCAGCAGGCTGCTGCTGGCGGGTCGATGCACTCGCGTCGACCCGAAACCTTGAAGATTGACATCTCTAAGTATAGGGGAGTCGAAGAGAACTCCCTCTTGAGATGGTTCGTCGAATTGGATGACGCCATAAGGGCGCGTCGCATCGACGACGGGGATATGCAAGTTGCATTTGCTCAATCAAATCTGGCAGGACGTGCCAAGACTTGGGCACTGGGGCTCAAGTTGCACGACCCATATGCGTTTGGGTCGTTGGAAGTCTTCAAGTCGCGGCTCAGACAAACGTTTGAACCGCCTAGAGCTGAGTTCAGGGCTCGAACCGAACTCTTGAAGCTCAAACAGGGTAAGCGTGATGTGCACGCTTACGCCCAACATATACGACATCTTACGAGTTGTATAAGTTCCAATCCGGTGGATGAACACACGTTGGTTTCGGTGTTCATGCAGGGTATTGCGGATGGTCCCGTCAAGACTCACCTGTTCCGGCTTGAACTAGATTCACTAGAACAAGCCATTTCCATTGCGGAGCAGGAAGACTTCAGTCTGAGACAGGCTCGCGCCAGCTCGACATCATATCGTCAACCGAGACGATATGACAACGGAGGTCCAGAGCCGATGGAACTCTGTTATGTAGAGAGCGAGAAGGCTTGCTCTACAGGCTACAAGAAGTTGCAGAGATGCAACAAATGTCAAAAGACAGGACACTACGCTTACGAGTGTAGTGCCCCTCGTCCAGTGTCTCGCGACACTGGGCGTAGTGACCGTCCACCCATGAGAAAGGGGCAGGGACGAGGGTCCGCAGTTGGTGCAAAGATGCAACAACGGGATGGACCGTCAAAAAACGGTCAGGATCAGTAGGTGCGGAGCACCCTACTGATCCAGCAACGTCAAGAGAATTTGTAGGCCTCTTGATGAAGGTTGCTCCCAACGCAAACACGTTGTGCGTTGCTGCTCTAGGTAATGAGGTCTCACTCATTACCTTGAAACTCGAAGTGACGAATAAGTTGTCCCTTCGAGCTCTAGTCGATTGTGGGGCGTCCAACAATTTTGTGCGACGCCAATCGCTAGAAGATGGTCACTTTAAATTCAGTGAATGTGACACACCTCCTACGAGGATGACGGTACGTCTTGCGACAGGCGCATCCGTAACCGTCATGAAGCGTATAGTGAAGATTCACTATACGCTAGAAGATACCCAATATGACGATGACTTTATCGTATTGGATTTGGATGACAAATTTGATGTCATCCTTGGAATACCGTGGCTCAGAAGGTACGAACCACGGGTAAACTGGCAACATCGGACAGTAACGATGCCTGCCGCTTGTTCATCAGATGGCCATCTGATGAACGTTTTGGAGCGTCCACAAGCGTGCGGATGTACTACGAGTGAGTGCGATGGCCTCACTTGTGGTACGGTCGTTAGTACGACTGCACAAAACCTTAGTGTACCAAACGGTTACACTTCGGAGCAAAGTTCCGGCGGCTGTGAGGAAACACAGGCTGCGCCGAAGGTCCACCACTCGAATAAGTCGGGTGGACTGGGACAAAGATGTATCCCTAGAGGGGAACATCTAGAAGAGAAACAATCGATCGCTCAGGTTAAGCGAAACGATAATCCTAGATCGACTGGAGAGTCTTTCGTAGAGGATCTCGCTGTGGTTGCGCAACCCCAGCTAGAGGAAGTTAAGGGAATAAGTCCCAATATTACAAATACGGCGGAAATAAGTTCCCCGAAACCCGCGGGAATAAGTCCCCGGGAAGACGAAGGAATAAGTCCTTCGAAGCCTGAGGGAATAAGTCCCCAGGAAATGACAGAGACATTGAATGTCATAGTCAATAACGGATCATGTGTAGGCGCTTATACACTTGATCTGATTGCGCCTCCGAAGTTAACTTCGGAGATCACTCAGTTGCCAACGCTCGAACATAAAAGGTTCTTGCGTGATCTGCGTAGTGGCAAAGTCAAGCAGATCTGCATACTCGTCGCTGACGACGAGTGTGTAACCGACATAAGGTCAGCAACAGTGTTTACTGAGAACGAGAGAGTTCTCAGTAGTTCATCTATGGACGAGAGTGTCCTAGATGAAAAGACACGAATTGAGCGATATGAGTCCCAATCATGGGAATCGCTCAAGGAAAACCCTCTCTATGAGGATTTGGTTGAATTCAAGGATGTATTCCCTGAAACTGTTCCGTGCGAATTACCGAAGGATAAAGGTATTCGACACGAAGTCGAGCTTAAACCAGGCTCGAAGTACTGTGTCATGAAGCAGTGGCCACTGCCTCGTGAACAAGTACTTGCGATCGACAAGTTCTTTGCCGATCGTTTAGCAGCGGGCCATGTGAGGGAATCAACTTCCCCACATAGCTCTCCGACCTTCTGTGTGCGAAAAGCAACAGGAGGGTGGCGGATAGTGCACGCGTTTAACAAATTGAACGCTGCAACGGTACCGGCTCAGACGCCGATACCGAGGAAGGACGTAATCATTGATGGTATGTCAAAGAGTACCATCTTTTCGTCCATGGATTCGATGGATGGCTTCTATCAAATCCTAATGCGGGAACGGGATACACCCTATACCGCAGTTAGCACGCCTAGTGGCATGCTCTGGGAATGGCTAGTAATGCCACAAGGGCTCAGTAATGCCCCTGCCACGTTCAACAGGTGTGTATCACATCTGTTGAGGCCAGTACGAGAATTCGCGCCGAGTTATTTCGATGACGTATTCATCCATAGTCGAGCTATGGATGGAAAGTCGGACGTTGAGGTTCACAAGTACCACGTCCGACAAGTTCTTACAATCATGCGAAAGCATCAATTGTATGCTAACCTCAAGAAGTGTATATTTGCAGCAAGCGAAATACCACTTCTTGGGTGCATCGTTGGTAAGAACGGTGTACGTCCTGATCCCGAAAAGATCAAGGCGATCACCGACTGGCCCGTGCCGGTCGATGTCAAAGGTCTTCGAAAATTCCTTGGGCTAGCGGCGTATTTGCATAAGTATTCACGCAATTACGCCGAGATGACTGTACACCTCTCTCGTTTGTTGAAAAAGAACGAGAGGTGGTTATGGAACGCTGAATGTCAACGCTCCTTTGAGGGTATCAAGCAGAGCTTGATACAATCCCCAGTCCTAGCAATAGCCGATCAGGACAGGCCATTTCATGTGGTCTGTGATGCCAGCGATTTCGCAATCGGCTGTGCATTAATGCAGTACGACCTTGAAGGCGTTGAACGCGTCGTCTGCTATCAGTCGCGTCAGCTGCAACCAGCTGAGCGGAACTATCCAGTGCATGACAAGGAACTCCTTGCCATGAAGTATGCACTCGCGAAGTTCAGAGTCTATCTATTAGGAGATAGACCCTTCGTTGTTTACACTGACCATGCGTCCTTACGCACGGCAGTGAACAGCCCGCACCTTTCACAACGAATGGCGCGGTGGTTGTCATTCTTTGCAGAATACAACTTTACGGTCGAGTACAAACCAGGACGACTTAATGTCGTCGCTGATGCACTCTCACGTCGTCCCGACTTTGAAACAGTCGCGAAACCCAACAGTGAGACAGTCACTGTTGCGGTTATGACGTCCTCAGTTCCATCTACAACGTTGTATGATGATGTGAGGCGGGCATACGCCCAAGATGGTGAGATAGTGAAGTTGTTGTCACATCTCTCCCAACCATCTCGAGAATCGTTGAAACGATTTTCGTTCTGCGTATCGATCTGCATCAGATCGATACACTACTCGTAACGGTTTACTGTACTATACAGCCGTTTCTGGTGACACACCACGTGTTGTCATTCCAGATGATACTGATCTGCGTTTGCGGATCATGTTCGAGTATCACGATGCTCCTATAGGAGGACATCGTGGCCGAGAGAAAACATATCTCACGGTAAGTCGAGACTTTTACTGGCCCCGCCAGTATCAGTTTGTGCGAAAGTATGTTCGCGCATGCGAAGTCTGCCAACGAGTGAAGTCAAGTCCTTCACTGCGTGCACCTTTACAGCCTCTACCGGTTCCGGCTGAGTGCTGGGAATCCATCTCAATGGATTTCGTCTTCGGGTTACCCAAAGACGCACGCGGGAATACGGGTATTCTCGTATTTGTTGACAGATTCAGCAAAATGGTACACCTTGTGGCTGTACCAGAGACAATCACGGCAAGTGGCTGTGCTTGTGTCTTTATTGACACCATCTTCCGACTTCATGGGTTGCCCCGTGAACTCGTATCAGACAGAGATCCACGATTCACTGCTGATTTCTGGCGTTCCGTGTTCAAATCACTCGGAACGCGCTTGAAGATGTCAACATCTGATCATCCAGAGTCAGATGGTCAGACGGAACGTGCCAATCGTGTCCTTGAAGAGATACTTCGAGGATACGTACACTCCTTTAAGAGTTGGAGTGAGTTTTTGCCGATGGTAGAGTTTGCCATCAACAACTCGGTGCATGCGTCCACGACACATACACCGTTTTACGTGAATGGCTTGCGCCATCCGCGTGTACCCACCTTACTAGAGTGTAACTCTGGTTTAAGGGGGGGAGGGACTCGCGCGAGCAAAAACCGATTTGGTTCACGCTCATCACGCTCTGACGAGGAAGTCATTGCGTTTGATGCCGATATCGATAACATCGATATCGAAGAAGATGATGCCAGTGAGAGTGCGGAAGCCCTCACTGAAGACAATGATGCCAGTGAGAGTGCGGAAGCCCTCACTGAAGAAAAGGTTGTTGTTGCTGCAGTGCGCTCACAGCACACTGAAGCTAACGAGTCATCAGATGAGTTCATACTGGCTCGTGAAACGGTAGTCCGTTTTGTGCAAGACTCCATCGCCGAAGCGGTGGATAAGCAAAAGCAAAACGCTGACAAGAATGGAAGGGCAAACACTCTTTTATTTAATAAAGGTGACTTAGTCCTACTGTCTACGATTAATCTACCAAAACATGTAGTGACTAACTTGGGTAGCAGTAAACTACTACCCAAGTACATTGGCCCATTTCGTGTATTGCACCGCCTAGGCAATGCATACACGATCGAGTTACCACGTAAGATGCGAACGCATCCCACGTTTTACGTTGGTCGGCTTAAGCCGTACCATCAGTACGCTGCTTCTTCCGATGAAGAACGCCCTTGCGCTCAAGCATCTCGCAGAGAGCCTTGTGCTCCCGATGGTGGGCATCAACAAGGGTCTGAAGAGCAGTTATCTCAGCCCGAGACCGATCAACAATCCCACGAGCTACCCTTAGCTCGTCACGAAGAGATGTCAGAGATCTCTCGTTCTCAAGCTGAGCAAAGGCAAACTCAGCTCGATGCTTCGAGGCAGTGTCCACCATCTGGAGACGCCTATTCCGCTCATGCTCGAGATCGTCGCGTAACCCTTGCGTTACGCGATCAAAGAAGCTCTCGGGAACACACCGATCCACATGATCGTGTGGAGAGCGTCTTTCCTCCTCCTCCACCTCCATTAGAGGACTCTCGCGGTGGCCAGCGCTATCTAGTTGAGCAGCTGTTGAACCACCGCGACGTGAACGGACGTCGGACGAGTTACCTCGTCCGGTGGCGCGGCTATCCCCCGTCCTGGGATTCTTGGGAGCCCCGCTCCCAATTGATGGTTGACGTACTGGGTCTGGTCGAGCAGTACGACGCGACACATCCTGTGCCGCAGAAGGACCGCCGGAGAAAGTCTTCCCGGCACGGTCGTAAAGGGATTTCAGGTTGTCAATCCCTTCGTACATCTCAGTAGAGACACGTACGCGCCACCACGGGCTGGTAAGGAGGTAAGCCTCCTTAGGTGCTCGTGCAGAGTTGTTCACACAACATGGGCACGAGTCTCCCCAAGAGAGGCAGGGTAATCCTTTCTCCCTTGACAGACGATGCAGCTTGTAGCGTGCACCTGTCGGGGTTCGCTTTTCAAACTTATCACGAGCTTTGATAAGTTTGTCGTTCCAAGCGTCACGACCTACATCCTCGAGATTATGGATGTAGGCGTTCCACGCCTGAAGTAGTGAGGGACCATCACGTTTGTGATTCCCACTGTACCATCGATGTCTGAAGAAAGCATCGATGAAGAACTCATGTTCAGCGCGATAGTCTTTCGCGCTGGGGTCAAGGTGATGAATCCCTGACGAATCGAACAATCGTGTTCGATAACGATCACTCGTCGTCGCCGACAAGTGATCCATGACAGATTTAGGAGGCATCCATGCCTTCTTTTCTGGAGCGAGACGCAACACATTGCGGTCCCGCTCTTCCTGCGACGTGCCGACAGAAGTACTGGCACCTCGCTGTGAAGTGGTGTCCATTGGAGAAACGACACCACTATTAGCGCCCGAGTCTCGCGACCTCGAGCGCCTTCGCTTCGGCGATGGTTCATCTGATGAGTCAGATGAACCAAAGATGCTGCGACGCAAAGCATCGTCCATGCCACGCTTGGCAGGCGGCTTGGATTCAATTGCCGTCGATACGGATCCGTCATCCGTATCAGGAGAGTACGAGACACCGAGCTCGTACTCTGTGAAGACACGAGTGTCTTCATGACCAGCACCTGCATCACCAGGTGATACAGGCTGAGTCGATTCAGCAACCGATGGGATATCAGTTGCTTTAGTTTCTGCTTCGGCGTCCGCACAGAGACGTGCAGACGCGCTCTCGGCGGCCTTGCTCGCGCATCGCATGGGCTTGTTTACCATGCGATGAGATGTTGGAAAGTGGACGCGGACCAACAAGTGCAAACCCCGTCCCAAATGATTTGGGACGAGTATCCATTTAGTCAATCAGTCACTAAAGTGACTGATGGTTAAGGGGGTGATGTAACGGGGTGAATCGTTACATAACAATTTATAAGAAATTGTTAATAGAATATAACTATAAGAGTTATATTCTCAGAATATTGTCATAAGGACAATATTCTGTAGCACTTCCAAGTAGTTCCTAATTGGTTGATATAGGCCATTATATCAACCAACGAAGACGCGCCACGACAGACGCACGCAATGAGTGGTGAGCAGATAACTGATTTACACATTTGTATTTAGACATAGTTAGATGAAGATAAATAGTGATTTATTGCAGACATTAACTATTATAAATACAGTTCTACTTTTTACTCTAACCGAGTACTCGCTTCTTCTTACCGTCTTCCTCTGCACGTACGAGTGTACGTGAAGTTACGAGGCACCGCCTTATTCTGTTATCAGAATAAGTAGCTTGTACTGTCACCAGTACAAGCTTCAGGGTGCCCCGTTACACAACAGGCTCGTCCCGCTACACTAAATTCTTTGCGACGGAATTTATGATGATTGGCCGAGCATTAGTCAAGTTTGCTCTAAGCATAGGCCTCTCTGACTCACTCTAGTCCGGCAGGACGAATGTCAATCTTCCGAGTAAACCACTCTGTCCTGTATCCTTAATCCCTAGACCAAATATAATTGTGCTAGCCATGCACCGAGACACTCACAAATGAAAACGTTAACTGCTAATTAATTTCTTAAAAAAATACTTTGTTTGGTTCATACGTTGGCTTTGGCGCCAGCTGGTTTCACTGCGGGGCATTCTGCTGCACAATGAATTTGCTCAATCACCCAAATTTCTAGAAGCGGCCTTTTGTCAATTGTTACCCCAGTGAATGGGATGCCGCTGAAGGTATCTGTTATCTCACTGAAACTGCAATAATCGTGCTTGAACTGCAGCTGCAAAGATCTCAGTTTCAGCAAAGCTGTGTGTGAAGAGACCGTACAGCGTGAAATCAAGGCTGATGTTCGACACCTTATGGCTGCGCTGGATAAAAATTTAGCACCTCAGATGCCTAGAGGGCCCAGACATTTCTGATTTATGACTCGCACGTACTGAAATTGCGCTGATCATTCCGTTCGGAAGTCTAGTCCATCTGGTCTGCACCGATCTTGTTCGTACTCGAAATAGGCAACGTGTCACGATCAACCATAGTGATTTAACTGGTTACTAGAAATGAGAAGTGTGCAAGAGAAAGCAAGACCGCTCTAGCCTATGAAGCACACAATTCATTTTGCCTCTCAGCCCTGACCTTCGTCCTTGGTCGTATTCATTTTGGCTCTCAGCCCTGGCCTTCGCCCTTGACCGTATTCATATTGCTCTCAACCGTAACCTTCGTTCTCTGTCGTATCATTAAGCGAGGTATGGGCGTCTGCTTCCTCCTCTTCGCACTATCCTTGTGTTTTTCGCTGTTCGCCGAGACCGTGTTGGCTCATGTGGTCAGGAAGGTTACTCTCTCCGGCGTCGATGGACCTCAATTCACGGCTGGCCACACATCGAACGGAGTCCATCCCTCAATGGACGTGACAGCAGAGGAGCGGACTGACCCCAGTGGGCTCATAAAACTTGAGGTCGTGCCGCTTCTACACTTGTCACCAGACCAGACGAAAATTTACGCGTCGATCGCTGAAAAAATGAATCTCAACAGCGCCTATAGTAAGCTGATGCAAGAATTCAAGCCACCCACGAAGACTCTCCGTCCACATGAGCTCATGCATTCCCAACCTTTTATCGCCAGTGACTACCTCCCTGCATTTCGCAAACGTGCTCATGAACTTCACAACGCAGAGGCGGACGCTGAGGTCATTCGATTCCTCGAAACGCGTCATGGCTCGAGGCACTTAGCGCTGTCGCTGCGTGAGGCGAGCAAGTCGGTGCAAGAGCAGGTGCGCAAGGCTGCTGAAGCGCTACAGGCCGCGCAGTTCAAGATGTGGCGTGACTTGTTGGTGAGCGATGGGGACATTCTTAAGGTGAACGAGAAGGACTTTTTTAAGGTCAAACTAGGGGTGGTAGATTTTGAGCATCCCGAGGAGCAAGAAAAGGGAGTCATGGAAGAATTCATGACGTACATGGAAAGGTCGGAGAAGGAAGCAATCGACGCTAAGCTGATGCAATGAATATTATTCTGCTGTTCTAGCGAGTCATGAATGCTTTAGTCGCACCTGTCGTTATTTAACCTGTAAGATGATGCTGGTCTAAACTGATGATCGACTTGGGATGTTACTTCAGCGTCGCATCGTATCCACGGATCCTTAATAAACTGCTACGTGAGTTTGCCCTTCGGCGCAATCGGTATCTCAGCAAGCGCTGAACAATGATGTGAAAGCCCGAATAAGCAAGGAGCTGAAACCGCATAAACCAATGTGGCGCGTAATCACGGATCGCTAAGCTGTAACTCGCTATAACATATTCTTATCTTGTCTCTTCATATTGTACTATTGTATACTACACCACAGCACGCCACCTCCCTTCCTCTCTGCCGAAGTAGCCAGTCAGTCACCTGCCGACATGAACTCCCCGAGCGCGTGCGATGCGTGCGGCAAGAAGTTCAAAGTGTTTGTCATCAAGAAGAAGTGCAAGCACTGCTCGGACGTCGTGTGCAAAGCCTGTCTGGCCGTCCACCTGGAGCTAAAGCACACGCGCGTAAAGAGGTCGCCCCGGGATCTGAGACAGCGCGCGTCGTTTGAGATGTTTGACTTGATTGACGACAACGAGCGGGAAAGGCCCCAGTCGCTGTCGGCCATGGACGCTGTCGATTCAGAGCTGGAGGACGCAAATCCGGACGGGGTCAAGGACGAAGACGCGAGTGGAGCGAAGCGCGAGGAGGACGGCGACGTCGATGACGTTGAGGAATCCAAAACGGTGAGGATGACCACGCTGTCGAGGCAGTCGTTGACTGAAGAGAAGAAGACTTGTTACAGAGAGCTGCAGCTGATTCAGGAAGCGGTGGCTGAGTGGACCATCAAGGAGATGAGGATCAAGCAGGAGATGCGGCGCGTCGAGGAGGGCGGCTACCGTGTAGCCATTGCTTTGGCATTTTCCAAGATGTGCGGCGGCGAAGAACCCTGCCTTGCTGTTACTGTAGGGTATGCTGTTGCGGCTACGGTGGGAATTTGGACTCTCTTCGGACTGCTGTTCTCGGGCTTCGTGTGACATGCACGTGCAGCTCTTTCTTTGCTGACTGTTAATCATGTAACCAATCGAAAGGTTATGTAGGAGAATGATGAGCTCATTGAGGCACTCAATTCATCGAGTCAATGAACGCTACATGCTTGTGCGGTGCTCGGAGATGGTCGAAAACCGTCGATATTTGAGCGTCGTTTGATTCGCACAAGGCCTGTAACCCAGCAGGGCTGCTACAAACATCATAGCCAGTGACAACGTGGAGTGTTTTGAGATGGTCAATAGCATTTTGATTGGCAACGAGTTGCTGCAACTGTCAGGATGAAGATGAAAGAAAGAGAAATTGTCGTTCCACTTCCGCTTACAAGATGCAGGTCCATGCACTTTTTACTGGCGATGAAGTAGGAAAGAAGGCGCTCGCAGTGGAACTTACGAGCAAACAGACGTGGCAAGATGCGTGTGTTAACCAAAAGTGAGGACGAAAGTCAAGCACAATAACAAGACGAAGCTGAACAGCTCAAGACATCGAACAAGCTCGTGTGACGCCCAGGCGGTACTGCTGCAGCTGTGGGAGCAGGAGTGTCGCTATATGGAATTGAAGTCACAAACTGTCGAGCGTATTCAGGTTAAAGGATGAAGACGAGGACTTTCTTGGACAGAGCTGCTGCACTCACGCCAACTTCGCTAGCCTCACCACCGCCCTCATTGCTGCAAAACAATTAGCGTCATCTCTATGAGCCGCAAGAAGGCGCGCCGCGAGAGTCCTATGCTTGCGAACTCGCTCGAAGCCAAACCAAACCAGGAGGCTGTGTTGTTGGCCAACTGGTGTTTAGCCCCTTGATGCAAAACTGCTGCGATTTTGCTCGCATGCTATGTAAACCTATGCGGACATTGGTGGCTATAAAGGACGTGGAAGTGGATGAGGTCGAGGGAATGCTTGATCGATCGAAGGTGCTATGCCGTGCAATTTAGAATGCATGCCGACAGCTGGTCACTTCTACCCAGCGCATCATTACCATGCATTTCCTCGCGAGCTTTGGGATTGGCCAACCGGCCAGCTTGACGTTTTACAACTCGAAACAGCGCGTCAATTTACTTTGTGCCCACCACAGTACGTGCGTAAGCGCTCGTGCTTCTGTTTCAGACGGAGAGGAGCAGCAACTTAGTGTCTGGTCGATTTAGACTGCGGTGTGCACTGCGGTGTACGACAAGCAAACTGATCTCAAGGCGGTGCAAGACACTAACGCTCTTACACTCTTCGATCCATAATAGCTGGGTTGTAGACCCATGGTGATGGCGAGCGGGTGCAGAGCGTTGAGTCGAGACCATGATGTAGATGCTTGGCAACCTGATTCGAGTGTAAGAAGTCCAAAGAAAGATTTACAGCTTGCATTAACCACTGGATGCTCAATGCAGGAAAAGCAGCGTTGCTTCCGCATGCGGATACAACTACGGTGTCTTTAGTGCAATTCATTACTTCCTGGTGCTGAGACGGCTTAAGCCTGGGAGCTTTAAAGATGGCTCACCGAATTGACACGTTTTGCGGGCAGCTTCTTGACAACAATTTTGTCATTCGAGCAGTGAGGACTTGTTCGTGGATTACCGATGACACGCGTCAACAAGAAGCCAGGTCATGAAGTGGCTGGGATGCGCGGCAATTTTGGGTAAAGGCGAAGGAGTGGACGTTCTATTTAGACGCAGAGCTGAGCTGTAGAAGAACGAGGCTGCCTTGGATGCAAGCGACTGCCTCTTTCAAGTTTCGTCGGAGAGCATGTTTTCCTGCTGCAGTGCATCCTGGTAGCCGTCGTATTAAGAAGGTTATGATGAGGGTGACGGTGACGTAGTCCCTGGCATGGAGAAAGACGACGCAAATTGACGATGGGGTCGGGGCTTGCGTACAGGAATTGGCGGAAGGTGCCATGATGGATGACAAAGACTTTCTCATAAAGTACTGGAGTGGGATCAAAGTGACGCCGAGGAGCCACAAGTGAAGGGTGATGACGTTAAGACACAGGAGCATCGAGACATCGCTATGCATACTGCTGTTGGTATTGTCGACCATGATTCGGACGAATGAGAGCACGATAGCGACGTCGAGAACGCATTTGACCTCTCAGTCATGGACGCAATGGATGGGGCTGGCAATGTGCTCTAAAAAGAGCTGCAACAGCTGAATCCAAATTGAAAGAATTGAAATTCAATAAATGCTGGCGAGAAGCGCGATGCGATGTTTACCAGTATTGATGACTGAGACTAGTTTGTGAAGCTAGCTGCGGCCAAGCGAGCGAAAAACTTGAAATAGACAATGAGCGAGAAGCCAAATGCCACGGAAGTCTCTTAACTTTGGTGTACTGAGCTTCTATTCTGGAGTCGAAATGGCATTATAAATCAGTAGTTTGAACGACGTCGTTCGATCTGAAGGTCAGTAAACCAAAGTGCGTCTACGTGTCCAAGTAATGTACTGCGCACAGTACTTTCAAGTGATAAATGTGCTCCGGAGGCACAAGAGCAGCACATATTAAGACGCTACTGACGTAGTCTGCGACCACGTTCGCGCGATCCTGCCACATTATTATGCGATTTCATTTTTTACTAACCCTCAAGCTTAGCACGGCTGCCGTTAAATCCAGAGGCGCATCGACGAGAATGTACGATAGTCACGAAGCTCTGACGGGGAAGTGCTCGTCTCTATCTGCGAGCAGGTGCTAAAGATGATTCGCCGCTTTCCTTCGTCGTGGTGGCGATGTGAAGTAACACACCCTCGACCAGCCTTAGCTCTTCTAGCTGCCATCCATTCTTCAGATGCAATCTGGCAGCAAGACTAAATTCCAGACACTGAATTCGCGAACCACTCTTTTAACTGCACAGGAAGTACAAGCTTGCGCTCTTTTGCCGCCAAAAGCCAAGATCAGTCTCAGCAGCAATCTCGTACAGCTTTAGTATGCTGAAAGAACTTCTCATAACAAGACTATGTCACAATGAGAGATCGCGGGGTTCTTGCAGCTAACGCAGCAACGAGCCGACGATTTCGTCAAACTTGGCAATGTAACCACTCAAGTCCTATCCCATGTCAGCTGGTGTCTCGATAGCGTATGGTCCAGCACTTCGGTGTCAGCCTTTGTTGTACTATCGATATTGTGGCAGCTACTGTTGACGGCATTCACCAGCACAGCAATCACCCAATCTCCTTCCATCGTGTACAGCAACATGCCTTCTGAACAAACAGCGGTAGCAAACGTTATTCGACGTTTAGTGCAAACAACTTGTTCTTTATATCTCCAGCGATACCATACGTAAAAGCTGACGGGTGCGTTCAAAGACTTCCCACAAGGGCCACTGAAGCTCCTCAGTTTGCAGCTTTTGTACAATTTGCGAACTCTCAGTGGGCAGTGCTGAAAGAGCAATGCGAGCTGTATTCAAAGTAGCGCGCTGTGTATCAAACGCTGCTTTTGGTATCAATACTGTCAGTCGCACCTGCAGCCCACGAGCACGCGACGCGAATGCTGAGCACATAAATTGTTGGTTCCGCCAGTCCAACTAGATAAGCAAATGGCGACACTTCCATTGTATCGCCATGGACGGCCAGATACGCTAGCTAATGGCTATACATTTCGAGTCATGGCCGCAGTGACCCCTGTGCTTTACGCAGATATGGTTGAAAGCGGTACAAGTCCATTACGAGACTGTTCGTCACGCATTCACACTCCGAGCCATCGGCCACTCTCACAGACACACTCCGAGCCACTCATATCAGCCGACTTTCCTGCTACAAGCAATGTGCTTGACGTTATAAAAGTCGCTCCTAAATGCTTGAACACGTTACCCGAACAAATGACTACACCGCAAAACTCTGCACTTTTGAGTCTAATTGAGCCAAGCGACCCACGAAACAACAGTGCAGAAAAAAAGAGCATTTTTTTTGTAGCGAAATTTACGTGTATCACCATGTACGACGACGCCGCCACCTTGTAGAAACATCTCCAATTTCCATTTTGATAGTAAGAAGCTGGCATTTCGTCCCAGTTAGACCTCGGCAAGCAGGCGATAGAGCAGCGGGCAGTTTACTATCCACCCGAGCGAGCAAGACCGCGTACATTTGCGTAGTCTTTAGAACGTGCTGCAGGTTCTTTGCCTTTGGCGTGTAGGCACTCTCCATTCAAGCGTATATAATTGTGCACTCTTTTTCTCTGCTAGGTGCTGTCAACCGCCCTACCCAAGAGCCGTGCAATTGACGTCGCGACATTGCTGTATCATACACGGAAGTCGGAAGCGCTGTCGCTTCAGTGAAAACCGCATCAGCAATATTTTTTTAGTACAAAACTACCGCACGATATCGCGTGTAGCCGTCATCAACACATCATGCACTTTTTATTACGCCCGATGTTGCTTGCGCTCGTGAGCAACAACACCGAGGCGTCGGCTCATAACTTGTCCAATCCGTTTGACTCCCCATTAATTTCTAAAAAAAAATTTGGAGCAGATACAATAGTAGCGTAGCCGATAATGTCGTAGCTAATCTGCATCAGCAACGGACCCTAAGACACCTTTGATCGCAAATTACTGCTTAAGTCGTCTGCACAAGTAAACTGTTGTCGATTCAGGCACAAGAAGTCGTATGATCCTGCCTAGTGTCGCAGACCTCAAAAATATGCAGAACGACGACTCACCAGATCACAAAAAGGAGCACAGCACGAATTGGTGCATCGCACAACTCGTCGTTCGTACGCGATGCCATGTGGTCAACGGTCGGTACATTCCATTCCTTGCAAGATAAGTTCTGTGGCGTCCTAGATCATGCTAGAGCTCATCCAGAAAAAGCGCTCGACCAAATTACGACGCCGTTCACCAAAAAAACACATAGTCACTACTGAGAGCTTGTTGAAGCAAATCTTCGTGCGGTGGGACGAGATCAGCGCTGGCAGAGTGTCCATCCAGTATCCGAGGCAGAGTCCAGATCATAAAAATCCACATTGCCATGCAAAGAAACGCTATCGGCGCTACGGAGAAGAGACGACTAACTGTCAGGACACGCCACAGTTGGCAGGGCCTCGGACACTTGGCGGCCACGCACTCTTAACTAGTTTTGCAGTGCTTCAATAGCACAGCAACTTTGAACTGATGACGGAGCTCGAATGATGCTCGGGCGATCGGATTCGTTGATAAATTGTGGACTCAGATCAACCAAGCGCAACTTAAGCTGCACAACTGAAGCTACGTGCAACGTACGCTCGCTCGGCCAATTGTTTCGCTAATTCATGTTTTGAAACGCTTCACAAGAATTAACAAGCACAATTGATTGAGGAGAAGAAAAAGAAGACACACGGATTGACGTACTCGCCATGATGGACGCACTGCACGCGCAGAGGCAAAAACTGCTGGAGCCCGAGAGCAGACAGTCCCTAAACCAATCTCCTGGACCGAATAGACGCAACGCATGGCCATGTCCGAGTCTATCGTACCAGGAGCGCGTCATTGGCTGTGTGACGTGTTTTCTATTGGGGTTCCTGTTGTCGCTAGGCGCGACTATTCGTCTGGCCAAGTTAGTGCACGGCAATCCTGCGCCGTTTGCCATTGCCTACACGATCGGAAATCTGCTCTCCGTTGGCTGTACCACGTTCTTTGTGGGGCCGTGGAAACAGATGCAGACAATGTTCCACGACAAGCGTCGCTACTCGGCCGTCGTCTACGTCGTCTTTATCTTCGTGACCTTGCTGCTGTGTTTTTCGCATCACACCCACCATCGAATACTTTTCGTGCTGCTGTCGGTCCTCGTGCAATTTTTGGCCCTTGTCTGGTATACACTATCATACATTCCTTACGGTCGTACGATTGTCATGAGCTGCTGCAAACGCACCTTTGGGATGGCTACAAACGATGAGGTGTAAGGTTGGGCGTGAATGTGGACTAACAGCACCAAGAAGTCAAGATGGATCAGTAGGCGTACAAACCTAATAAAGAACGGTCGTTTGGATGATGTTTATTGCTTTGCAGACAATCAACCTGCAGTCCCTCGGTGTCCAGTGGTCGCTCGAGTTGATCGTACAAATCAGTCAGTTTTGGATCTTGCATTCGGGTCTAAAATGCGCTTTTCTTTGCCGTCTGCGACTTGACGGACGTTGCTCGTTTCGATGATGAACCAATTGATGGAGATCGTGAGCCCGATCACGAGGAACAGCAGCACAAACACGTGGAACGAGTCTTCGAGCTCCGTGTAGATGACCGTCAGCATCACGACAGCAAGTAGCGCCAGTACAGCGTTTAACACGATTACGAACTCGCGACTGCCTGGCTGCAAGACATTTTGAAGAGCACGCATGTTGGAGATCGATTGTCAGGTTAAAAAAAGGAAAATAGAACTGATAGAAAGCATCGTTACGCACGTTTCGCTTGTTTTACTTTTAGCTACGGTTAAATCCGAATCCTTTTTTTCAAGATGTCCATATAAGGGTATTTAAACAAGCCAATAATTTTAGGGACCGCGTAGGCGTACACCCCCTAATAACTACGCGCACACCCCCCTCCGAGATGTCGAATTTTTCCCCCCCACTAAATGCGAGCTATCCTCCAATCAATCCTATTATCTCTCTGTTCCTTGCTCTTCCGGGAATGCTAACACCACCTCCCGAGCATACTTATCCTTCTCTTGATGATGCTCAGTTGGCAGTAGAGCTGTAACGGGGCACCCTGAAGCTTGTACTGGTGACAGTACAAGCTACTTATTCTGATAACAGAATAAGGCGGTGCCTCGTAACTTCACGTACACTCGTACGTGCAGAGGAAGACGGTAAGAAGAAGCGAGTACTTGGTTAGAGTAAAAAGTAGAACTGTATTTATAATAGTTAATGTCTGCAATAAATCACTATTTATCTTCATCTAACTATGTCTAAATACAAATGTGTAAATCAGTTATCTGCTCACCACTCATTGCGTGCGTCTGTCGTGGCGCGTCTTCGTTGGTTGATATAATGGTCTATATCAACCAATTAGGAACTACTTGGAAGTGCTACAGAATATTGTCCTTATGACAATATTCTGAGAATATAACTCTTATAGTTATATTCTATTAACAATTTCTTATAAATTGTTATGTAACGATTCACCCCGTTACATCACCCCCCTTAACCATCAGTCACTTTAGTGACTGATTGACTAAATGGATACTCGTCCCAAATCATTTGGGACGGGGTTTGCACTTGTTGGTCCGCGTCCACTTTCCAACATCTCATCGCATGGTAAACAAGCCCATGCGATGCGCGAGCAAGGCCGCCGAGAGCGCGTCTGCACGTCTCTGTGCGGACGCCGAAGCAGAAACTACAGCAACTGATGTCCCATCGGTTGCTGAATCGACTCAGCCTGTATCACCTGGTGATGCAGGCGCTGGTCATGAAGACACTCGTGTCTTCACAGAGTACGAGCTCGGTGTCTCGTACTCTCCTGATACGGATGACGGATCCGTATCGACGGCAATTGAATCCAAGCCGCCTGCCAAGCGTGGCATGGACGATGCTTTGCGTCGCAGCATCTTTGGTTCATCTGATGAGTCAGATGAACCATCGCCAAAGCGAAGGCGCTCGAGGTCGCGAGACTCGGGCGCTAATAGTGGTGTCGTTTCTCCAATGGACACCACTTCACAGCGAGGTGCCAGTACTTCTGTCGGCACGTCGCAGGAAGAGCGGGACCGCAATGTGTTGCGTCTCGCTCCAGAAAAGAAGGCATGGATGCCTCCTAAATCTGTCATGGATCACTTGTCGGCGACGACGAGTGATCGTTATCGAACACGATTGTTCGATTCGTCGAGGATTCATCACCTTGACCCCAGCGCGAAAGACTATCGCGCTGAACATGAGTTCTTCATCGATGCTTTCTTCAGACATCGATGGTACAGTGGGAATCACAAACGTGATGGTCCCTCACTACTTCAGGCGTGGAACGCCTACATCCATAATCTCGAGGATGTAGGTCGTGACGCTTGGAACGACAAACTTATCAAAGCTCGTGATAAGTTTGAAAAGCGAACCCCGACAGGTGCACGCTATAAGCTGCATCGTCTGTCAAGGGAGAAAGGATTACCCTGCCTCTCTTGGGGAGACTCGTGCCCATGTTGTGTGAACAACTCTGCACGAGCACCTAAGGAGGCTTACCTCCTTACCAGCCCGTGGTGGCGCGTACGTGTCTCTACTGAGATGTACGAAGGGATTGACAACCTGAAATCCCTTTACGACCGTGCCGGGAAGACTTTCTCCGGCGGTCCTTCTGCGGCACAGGATGTGTCGCGTCGTACTGCTCGACCAGACCCAGTACGTCAACCATCAATTGGGAGCGGGGCTCCCAAGAATCCCAGGACGGGGGATAGCCGCGCCACCGGACGAGGTAACTCGTCCGACGTCCGTTCACGTCGCGGTGGTTCAACAGCTGCTCAACTAGATAGCGCTGGCCACCGCGAGAGTCCTCTAATGGAGGTGGAGGAGGAGGAAAGACGCTCTCCACACGATCATGTGGATCGGTGTGTTCCCGAGAGCTTCTTTGATCGCGTAACGCAAGGGTTACGCGACGATCTCGAGCATGAGCGGAATAGGCGTCTCCAGATGGTGGACACTGCCTCGAAGCATCGAGCTGAGTTTGCCTTTGCTCAGCTTGAGAACGAGAGATCTCTTCGTGACGAGCTAAGGGTAGCTCGTGGGATTGTTGATCGGTCTCGGGCTGAGATAACTGCTCTTCAGACCCTTGTTGATGCCCACCATCGGGAGCACAAGGCTCTCTGCGAGATGCTTGAGCGCAAGGGCGTTCTTCATCGGAAGAAGCAGCGTACTGATGGTACGGCTTAAGCCGACCAACGTAAAACGTGGGATGCGTTCGCATCTTACGTGGTAACTCGATCGTGTATGCATTGCCTAGGCGGTGCAATACACGAAATGGGCCAATGTACTTGGGTAGTAGTTTACTGCTACCCAAGTTAGTCACTACATGTTTTGGTAGATTAACCGTAGACAGTAGGACTAAGTCACCTTTATTAAATAAAAGAGTGTTTGCCCTTCCATTCTTGTCAGCGTTTTGCTTTTGCTTATCCACCGCTTCGGCGATGGAGTCTTGCACAAAACGGACTACCGTTTCACGAGCCAGTATGAACTCATCTGATGACTCGTTAGCTTCAGTGTGCTGTGAGCGCACTGCAGCGACAACAACCTTTTCTTCAGTGAGGGCTTCCGCACTCTCACTGGGATCATTGTCTTCAGTGAGGGCTTCCGCACTCTCACTGGCATCATCTTCTTCGATATCGATGTTATCGATATCGGCATCAAACGCAATGACTTCTTCGTCAGAGCGTGATGAGCGTGAACCAAATCGGTTTTTGCTCGCGCGAGTCCCTCCCCCCCTTAAACCAGATTTACACTCTAGTAAGGTGGGTACACGCGGATGGCGCAAGCCATTCACGTAAAACGGTGTATGTGTCGTGGACGCATGCACCGAGTTGTTGATGGCAAACTCTACCATCGGCAAAAACTCACTCCAACTCTTAAAGGAGTGGACGTATCCTCGAAGTATCTCTTCAAGGACACGATTGGCACGTTCCGTCTGACCATCTGACTCTGGATGATCAGATGTTGACATCTTCAAGCGCGTTCCGAGTGATTTGAACACGGAAAGCCAGAAATCAGCAGTGAATCGTGGATCTCTGTCTGATACGAGTTCACGGGGCAACCCATGAAGTCGGAAGATGGTGTCAATAAAGACACAAGCACAGCCACTTGCCGTGATTGTCTCTGGTACAGCCACAAGGTGTACCATTTTGCTGAATCTGTCAACAAATACGAGAATACCCGTATTCCCGCGTGCGTCTTTGGGTAACCCGAAGACGAAATCCATTGAGATGGATTCCCAGCACTCAGCCGGAACCGGTAGAGGCTGTAAAGGTGCACGCAGTGAAGGACTTGACTTCACTCGTTGGCAGACTTCGCATGCGCGAACATACTTTCGCACAAACTGATACTGGCGGGGCCAGTAAAAGTCTCGACTTACCGTGAGATATGTTTTCTCTCGGCCACGATGTCCTCCTATAGGAGCATCGTGATACTCGAACATGATCCGCAAACGCAGATCAGTATCATCTGGAATGACAACACGTGGTGTGTCACCAGAAACGGCTGTATAGTACAGTAACCCGTTACGAGTAGTGTATCGATCTGATGCTGATCGATACGCAGACGACAATCGTTTCAACGATTCTCGGGATGGTTGGGAGAGATGTGACAACAACTTCACAATCTCACCATCTTGGGCGTAAGCCCGCCTCACATCATCATACAACATTGTAGATGGAACTGAGGACGCCATAACCGCAACAGTGACTGTCTCACTGTTGGGTTTCGCGACTGTTTCAAAGTCGGGACGACGTGAGAGTGCATCAGCGACGACATTAAGTCGTCCTGGTTTGTACTCGACCGTAAAGTTGTATTCTGCAAAGAATGACAACCACCGCGCCATTCGTTGTGAAAGGTGCGGGCTGTTCACTGCCGTGCGTAATGACGCATGGTCAGTGTAAACAACGAAGGGTCTATCTCTTAATAGATAGACTCTGAACTTCGCGAGTGCATACTTCATGGCAAGGAGTTCCTTGTCATGCACTGGATAGTTCCGCTCAGCTGGTTGCAGCTGACGCGACTGATAGCAGACGACGCGTTCAACGCCTTCAAGATCGTACTGCATTAATGCACAGCCGATTGCGAAATCACTGGCATCACAGACCACATGAAATGGCCTGTCCTGATCGGCTATTGCTAGGACTGGGGATTGTATCAAGCTCTGCTTGATACCCTCAAAGGAGCGTTGACATTCAGCGTTCCATAACCACCTCTCGTTCTTTTTCAACAAACGAGAGAGGTGTACAGTCATCTCGGCGTAATTGCGTGAATACTTATGCAAATACGCCGCTAGCCCAAGGAATTTTCGAAGACCTTTGACATCGACCGGCACAGGCCAGTCGGTGATCGCCTTGATCTTTTCGGGATCAGGACGTACACCGTTCTTACCAACGATGCACCCAAGAAGTGGTATTTCGCTTGCTGCAAATATACACTTCTTGAGGTTGGCATACAATTGATGCTTTCGCATGATTGTAAGAACTTGTCGGACGTGGTACCTGTGAACCTCAACGTCCGACTTTCCATCCATAGCTCGACTATGGATGAATACGTCATCGAAATAACTCGGCGCGAATTCTCGTACTGGCCTCAACAGATGTGATACACACCTGTTGAACGTGGCAGGGGCATTACTGAGCCCTTGTGGCATTACTAGCCATTCCCAGAGCATGCCGCT